GCCCGGCCATGGCCCCTCCGCGGCGGCGGCAGCGCGGCCCGGCCGTTGCCATGGGAGCGGCGCGGCGCCTCCGCCCGGCCCGCCCGCGGCGGCACCGCCCGCGGGGCCCGGCCGGCCCTCCTGCCGCCTTCTGCTGTTTACAGCACTGCCGCGACTGGCGCCCTCCTCCCCCTGCCAGGAATGTCACTTCGTGGGCTGCTGTCTGTAAACGAGACCTCGGCGACAAAACCATTTTCCTATCCCGTCCGCGGCAAAGGCTCGGCGGCTCCCACGTGCTGGGCAGCTGGAAGAGGCCGGTCGATCCGTAACAAGGAATCATGAAAAAAACCCTTCATGAGACGCCAGCATAACAAACCCAGACGGGAAAGCGCTGCCTGGCAGCGGGGAAAAAGGCAAAGGGAACCCTTTCTCGGCAAAAGAGTAATAAAGGCAGGGACAGAAGGGTGAGGGGATGTAGATATCTTCTACTTGCAGCTGTTTGAGACTTAGCTGACAGCTGAGATTCAAGGACAAGGCAGCGCTTGGTGCGCTCACAGGTACTCTGCTGTACTGCTCACTTTAGCTGCCATTCTAGGGATCTGGATACGCTTCGGGAAAGTTGCACACACGTCACCTTGGACATGCACATATCCCACGTCTCTGAGTGCAGGCACTCTTGATGCCAACCTCAGTTTTCATTGACAAGTAATTAGCTACAGTGATTCCAAACAAATATTTGAGTATGTGAAAAAAATTTTTAAATGCTAGGATAAGCTGTTTACATCTTCAGATGGCTTTTATATGAAAAAAGGTGATTGATAACAATCAAGAAAGACTCCTTTATGGCTCCAACTATAACCAACACAGTCCTTATTTTCATTTTCCCAGCTTGCATGCAACAACTTTCCCATTTTATACCTGCCTTCTGCAGAAGTAAGGTGCATCTCACATTTAGTACTAGCATATTGTACAGAATTCTCTTTCCATCAAAGGGAAAATACCCAATATCAAGTATTTGTGTATACCCAAAAATACCTATGCACACTCTGCATTTAGTAGAAATTCATCCTGTATGCAACTCCAAAATGATGGCAAAAATACAGCCTGGCACAGTATAGGGCTCTGAATTTAGAAAATGTCTTTTGACATCTCCTCCTGAGTTGCTATCGTAGAACACAAGATCCATAGAACATCCAAAGGCAGGACCTGTAGCACATTACGCAGTGCCCTCACACGGTGTGACAATGCAGTTGCCAGCCTTGCAGCTGGTGTTTGACACTCTTCATCCGTCCATGTACACACATCTCTCCATTACTCTAACCACTTTACTGGCCTTCTCATGTTCTACTTAAATATTTGTTTCTGTGAACATTCTGTTTTGTATCTGGGCTTACACTGGGTGAAACAAGATTTTCTGTTAAACATTTGAGATTGTGCTGACAATGCTTGTATGTCTGCAGGCAGTTAGCTGAAAAAGCTGGATTATATAAATATTCCTTGGTGGCCAGATAGGAACTGAAGTTGTATGTATTCAAAGTTTTAAAGCTTATATAAAAAAAAAAAAAAAAAAAAAAGGGCTTACATTTATTTCTATTGTAGCCTAAGTGATTTCAAGTTTGGCTGCTCTGTGTTTTGAATGACAAACGTATAGAGAATATACCTAAATTGGGCAACTTAATCTGTAAATTATAAGCTTAAATCACATGGCACTTGTTGGCTCACTGTTCCAGAGATCATATTGCAAAGCTCCATTTGCTCACTGTTCCCCTTCTTCAAAATGAAGCTTTTAGAATTTAAGATGAGAACTACATTATGCAAGTTTGACTACAAGGGATTCTGCTGCCCTTGGCAAATACCCATCCTCAAAACCATGCAATCAACTGTGAAAATATTTACTCAAAAGTTAATAAACCCCAAACAGGCTTATAGTGTATTTTTATCATATCCACCTCTTCTGTTGGTAATGAAAATATTCAAGACACCAAGGCCTTACTTATGAGAGTATTGAATTTTAAATCTTACAAATGCTAAGAAATATGTTTAAGAAGTAGACTTGATGTAAAGAGGATTTCTGTTTTGACTGAGGACAAGGTTTTGGTGTGAAGACACAGTTCAGCAAACTCTGTTCTTGAGGTAAAACTCAAATTTCATAAAACCAGAGGACTCTGTGTGTAGGACACAGCTGTGTGTTAGAAGATCAAGGTTACATAATTAGGTCTGTTGACTTTCCTGAGTGAATTATTTCCTCTAGCACTCATTAATCACTGTTTTACAAATTAGGTTTTGAGCTTTAAAAGGACTATTATTTCAGTATATACCTTTCACGTGCTGCAGTGGGGGTCTTCAGCTCCAGTCAAGTGATGTCCTTTCCTTGGCTGTATTGAAACTGTAGACTCTGTCCAAAGCCACCCGCACTCTTTATCAAATATGACACTGAGGTCTTTAAAGTACAGAAATCAGAGTATTTTTAAGTCTGTTGACCCCTTGACTTCCTTTTCATTCTCCTTTGTGTCTATCCTGACAGACTTTCTGTGCTTTATATTCACAGAATAAAAGGAAAAGACCTTTGAAGTGGCTGGCAGTAGACTCAACCTTAAACCCATCAAGTCAACAGAGCTTCCAACATCTGGATTTACCTGCCTGTACTATTAAAATACAGTGTTGAGGTTATGGGGTGGTATGGAATTGAGGGGAATTTTCACATTGATCTTTATTATTGTAAGGAAACATGGTAAATCACAGGACACAGAACTTATACTCTTGTACAGTACAAAGTACAGTACAAAGGCTGGAGAAACATTTAAGTTTGGGGCCCCAGCTGCTGGCATAATATCAACACTCAGTAGAACAAGCACTGAGATATAGAGAAATGGGGAGATTAAAAAGTAAAAGCCAAGAAAAGAAAGACTTCAAGGTCCAAAATGTTACTGTTATGTTAGGCATGGCACAAACCAATATTAAATTTCTGAATTTTAAAAATACCTATATTCCATTTGGGAGTCTGGTAAGGCTATGTAACCTAATGTGAAAGCAATGCCAATGCTGCCAGCTCCACTGACCCATGCATCTTTACTTCTCTGAACTTAGAAACTCAGTTTGTGCTGCTCATTGACAGTTAAGCAGCATTATATCTCTCATGTAGTCTTTTCCTCTTATGCTGGCAAAAGCCTCTTAGCAAAAGAGTTATGTATTTCCAAACGAAGGACTGCAAAGTGCTTCACCTGTTTGTTTCATTTGAAGACTAATTCTATTTCATACACACAACAGGACACTTGGAAAACATACTGGTGCCTAGCCATCTCATCATAGCCAAACTTTTTGTTGAATAAAAAGTGGATTGAATATATGCTGATAGTACTGTAGTGTTCCCTCGTGTTCTGAAAGCATGGAGAATATTTTACAGTAGGATAAGGGATATAGCTATCCAGTGTATCTGTGTGAAAAAGCTGTTAACTAGACATTGAAAAAGAAATAAACTGCCCTTAGAATATTTTCATGAATTCACATTCAAGTTTTATCTCTCAGAGAAAATGTTGATCAGAGCATCCATGTATTAGAAATAAACACAAGGTAAAATTTATTCTGCATAAGCACAGAAGAAAAAGCAAAATACCTTACACTAAGTTTTTATTGATTTTTGTGTAAAACACAGTCTATGGAAAAATAGGTAAGAGCATTACTAACAATTTATAATAGCCCTGTTCCGAGAGACAGCACAAACAGTCTGACAAACACAGCTACAAAGAGAATATTACATATGGGAGACATATTATGCTCACTGTAAGACACTGCCAACAAGGCATGAGAAACAATATATAATGACAGAGATCATTGTTCAAGTCAGTTAAATGTGTCACTTATTTTAAAGGCTGTAATCTAATTAATTCAAGCAGTATCATATGGTGATACAATATCAGTACTTCAACATTATTCATTATATTGATAGAAAATACTACAGGATGAACAGCCAAGAATTCAAAATCTTGTATATTAGGAGATGCACTCTCTGCAAGGATCTATGCATATGCATTCATTACCACTGCATATGTGAAAATATTACACTGAAAAAAATCAATCTAATTTTTATGCACCTGATATATCTAACTTTCAGAGGAAAGCTGTTTCCTAACTATATTCATACCTGTGAAATTTATTGCCACGTGGGAACTCATTGCCTTATATTAATTAGCTATTTCCTTTAATGCTAGTTGAGCAGCTAATGCCATACAGACACAAACATAGAAACACTATTTTATAGGCAATTAATGCCAAATAAAAATATGAATGTACTTTCTTATGTTGGCACATCACATAATTCACAATGTTGGAACAAAAAATTATAAGTGGCACCAGTTCACAGTAACTATTACAAGCTAAAGAACTTGCAAAACGATTACGAAATAATTAACCACTAAATAAGTCAAAAACTTTAAATAATTTGAGAACATGTGCATTTAATTAACAGTTGCCACAGTTAATAGAATTGGAAGATAAAATTTAAGACACATGGAACCTGTAATAGAACTCTGTTTTAGACAATGTTAAGAATATCTTAATATCTTAATATCATGGAAAACAAATAATCTGTTACTAAATACATAGAGGTCTCCATTTTATAATGTGTGTACAACTCTGTATCACATATTAAGCACTATTTTTTTAGCTATACAATAATTAAGAGAAATTAGGATTATTTCATTACTTATTTTCATTAGGCAGTTAAGCAATTTATATAAACCTACACAAAAATAATTTTATAGCAGGCTATTCTCAAAATACGTATTTATTCTCCTAAGTAACTAAGATGTCTAAAAGAATGTAGTTGTTTATATTTATGCAATCTAAACTAAACAATTAACCTCAGGTATTTTTCCAATGAGAAGTCCTATGGTGAGTTCTATAGAAATCAATGTGTTTGGTCACATGAATAAAATATCCCTTCTGGGACTAAATATATGCTGGATATAAAGTTTGCTAAATGTATGAGCATTGTTTACCTTCAGGCTTAACAGTGTCTTGTTAGAGCGGATTGGTCCTTAAAGAACACTATATAATATTAAATCACAAGTCAACATGCTAGTCCAGTTAGAAGTAAATACATGGCCTAACAGGAAACCATATGTCATTTTTGTAGCACAAATATTTCATAAAATGCCTTCATATAGTTGATCTAAAAATATTGTCTATTTATTAATACTTCAATATTTCAACCTTTCAAGTAACATATAAAATTAAAACACGTTTTTAATTTTCTACACACAGTTTGAAAATAGGAATGACTCATCATTATTCTCTCCAGACATCTTTGGCAGTTTAAAATTTAACAGTTTAATCATTGTTGAAGAAATTTAACAACAAAGAAAGTTTTTGCATAGGAAAAAGGGCCAATGCATTTATGTATATACTGTCAGTGGATGCATGACTGTACAGTATCTGTGGACTTTGACAGTAATTTCCAGTTAGTACAGTATCATAGTTCTGCATTATCACTATTGCATCAAAATAAATAACTCTAGGGAACATAAATGTTAATTACATATTCTACAGAAATGTAAAATTACTGTAAAATAATAGCAGCATATTTAATTTTCAAATGTAGTCAGATGGTCAACAGTAATACTTTCTGCCTAAATCTGTTCAGAGGTTTGATATTCTACCCTCAGTTATACCAGCCCATTCCAGTAATTTTAATTAGGTTTCATGCGCAGGACTGGGGTAGAAAGTAAAGTGGTATTTATCCCATTAAAATTCTCCAAGATTTGATGTGTTCTAAGATTTTTACAGTTAATTTTATTTAAAAGAATGAAGCACAATGCTTCAACAATGCTGCAATAATGAAATAGGAAACAGTCCAGGACATTCAATTCTGCAAGCTTTTTAAGACACATACACTTTTTGGAATGCAATTACGAAGTTAAGTTACAAGTTGTAATTGTTACTTGTTCTTCATTTTTATGTGAAAATCTCATTTGTAGTAGTTTAGGCTCCTGCCTGTCTCTAGTAACAACCGTTTTTCACTTAATGTCTAGAATGTTTGATAAAAAATTATTGTACTTGTGTATCACCACCAGTATCATTGAAATAGCTGCATATTGGAAGAGGAACAATAAAATAAATACCCTGAAACAAACTTATTTGTCTTTGGAAAAAGAAAGAATGCAAACTTTTTTTATTTATTCAATAGATTTTTTTGAACCTTTTTTTCTTCTTTATTTTTCTGTTAAAAAATAGGAAAGTTTGAAATTTCTAAAATGTTTGATAAATTTTTGGAGAACATAGGTATTAAATAAAGTAATCCAGAGCCAGCACCTGTCTCAAATAAATCCAAAATTACTGATTTCCAAGTGGCTGAGAAGTTCTGTTAGAACTGGACACCTGCTTTCTTTTGACAAGCATATGACACTTGTCAGCTACTGGAGACAAATCTCAAAGGCTTTAGCCTGACCAATTGTAGCTGTTATTACAATTTATTTTTCCAGAAATGGTGAAATAAAATGAATTATTTTCCCTCCAATTGACTCCATCACCAAGGCTTTAAAAGGAGGATAAATTTGAGCTCTCCAACTATTTGAAATTGTGTATTTGTGAACTAGAAAAAGTATCAAATATCTGCTGACACACATAATGTAGTTATTTTTTTAAAAAAAACTCCATTTTCAAGAAGAATCCATTGGCCTCTCATTTAATACAAAACATGTCTAAAGACATATAAAAATGCTCTAATTCTGAAAAAACATCATGCAAGTATTTTATTTCTCATCTCTAGATTTGAACATACTTAAAATTAAAGGAAGTTCAACTGTCTCTCATTTTGTAACAAACCCAGAATATACACAGGCTTGATGTGTAAGTTTGGGGAATTTGGATACTAGAATAAAAATAAAATTGTTGTTAATATTTTGAATTTGAAATTAAATTAAGAACAAGTAACGCAAATTCTTTAGGCTTAGGTTGGCATAACTGGGGGCAGAGTCTGATTCTAGAATCTTCTTTTTCTGTGAAGCTGTTCATTTCATTACAAGCAGAGATAATGAGATTTACAGGACCAGTGATATTTAAGGATAAATTCAAAGTTAATTATGTAGATTTCTAATGCATGATAGGACAAATTCTTACAAAGTAATAAAAAATAAGAGAAGGTTCAGCTAAGAAAATCATAGATTTTAAACATGGCAAATAGAGATAAGAAAAATATAATTTAATACAAGAAAATTAGGACCAAATCCACAATCTGATTCACTGAAATAGAAGTTTTGCTAATTAAGCAGCAGCAGTCTGAAGGTATGAGTCAAGTTTGGTTGTTTTGTTAGAGAAGAGTAATCACTACTGACATAGCAGTAGTAATAAGTAATTGTGAACATTATTTAGAATTCAACAGGAAATGCGAACGTCAAGGTGTAGAGATTTTTAAGTATAAGAATAATAATTTGGTTTCTCAAAACTTCAGACATATCCCAGAGTCACTTGTTGTAAAAGTTAGACCTTTATATAAAAATAGAAGATTGTATTTGCACAAAAAGATACTAAGAATTTAAGACACATTCTGGGAAATTCATATATAATAACTGAAACTCCAGTGTAGACACAGATAACATGAGCATTGTGATGCTTCCAATATACTGGAAGCTTCACAGTGAAAATGGACTTTTATTGTTGCTGAATTCTCAGCTTTTCTTTTTGTTTTAAAATATTTCCTCATATTTCAAAATCATTGAAAAATCAAAAACTAGTTTGCACACATCTTTCTTTAAATGTGTATCACGGTTTTGAATCTTAATTATATGATGTATGAAAAAAAAGAGATGCCAAATGTCTAAAAATCCTAGATAATGCTTTGAAAAAAAAGAAGAGGGTATTATCCCTTTGCTTACAAGATGTACAATCACACCATAATTGAAATTGGGTTTGCATATTCAGATCATGGAATGGTGTAAAACCACACACAAATAAATATACAGTACATGTGCAATACACTTGACTGAGTACAAGTGCTGCCCCTGGGCTGGGGTGACCCCAGTATCCACTCAGGCTGGGGGATGCAGGGATGTGGAGCAGCCCTGCCCAGAAGGACCTGGGGGTGCTGGTGGATGAGAGGCTGGACATGACCTGGCCATGTGCACTCTCAGCCCAGAAAGCCAAAGGTGTCCTGGGCTGCACCAAAAGCAGTGTGGGCAGCAGGGCAGGGGAGGGGATTCTGCCCCTCTGCTCTGCTCTGGTGAGAGAGATCCCACCTGGAACACAGCACCCAGCTCTGCGGTGCCCAGCTCAGGAAGGACATGGAGCTGTTGGAGCGAGCCCAGAGCAGGGCACCGAGGTGATCAGGGGGCTGGGGAACCTCTCCTGTGAGGAAATGCAGAGAGAATTTGGTTTGTGTAGCCTGGAAGGGATGGCTTAGGGGTGACCTAATTGCAGCTTTCCAGTACCTGAAGAAAATCTTCATGAAAGATGGAGAGGGACTTTTTACAAGAGCATGTAGTGACAGGATGAGGAGAATGGCTCCAAACTGAAAAAACATAGGTTTAGATTAGATATTAGGAGAAGATTCTGTGAGGGTAGTGAGGCAGTGGAACAGGCTGCCCAGAGAAGCTGTGGATGCCCCATCCCTGGAAATGTTCAAGGCCAGGCTGGATGGGGCTTTGAGCAACTTGGTCTAGTGAAAGGTGTCAAGGCCCATGACAGGGGCATTGGAACTTACTTATCTTTAAGGTCCCTTCCAACTCAAACCATCTGTGATTCTGTGATTATTACAAATAAACCCTGATTATTATTTATTTCCTAAATAATTTACTTTATATTTTGAACTTATTAATGCAGAAATGTGGTTTTAATAGAAGAAACACTGCCCAGAAAATGTCATATTAATAAACAGCACTCTGACACATATGCTCCAAGTCAAAAAAATATCTGTAAAGCTTGGTTCTAATAAAATACTATTGTGATATAATTGTGAAAAGGAACATTAAAGACAATTTTATTTCATAATCATCTGCTCTCTGTAATCCAAAACAAAAATATTTTTCTAGCTATCAGAAGTAGTAGTCTTCTAGATATAAACTTCTCATAGTTTGGTTAACAGCTTGTACTATATGTCAAGCAAGAGACTTTACAAAGACTCCTACTTAACTAAACTCCTAAAAATGCAAATTTATGACAAAAACCCCAAAGCCCAAACATGTACAACAGTGTTAACAAATAACATCACATTACAGTTATCCTTTCTGGGGAGAGATGAGGAACAGATCCGCTTACTTCTTCTATAACATGGCTTTTCTCCCATCCTCTTCGAATTCTCCTCAGTTTCCTACTTACACATGGCAAAAGTAATACAATCTTGCCAAGAATTACAATGCAAGGCAGAACAAGGGCAAGAACAAAATTTGGTGGTGTATAAAATCTGTAATACTCTTCTTCAAAAGCTCTCTTCCATCCATAAATCAGTACATGGAAAGTACTTATAAGCAGAGCAATGTATCCAAGTGTAGACTGAAGAAAGAGAAAACAGGAAAAAGAAGATAATAGCATTTGGTCCTTCACCTGACATCTCTAATACATTGTTTGCACTATTTTAACATTTCTATTATACATCAAGTTAAAATCTCTTACCTATTCACTACATTAAATTAGCTATATATGGTTTTAAGTTCACATTCTGAAATTACAGAACTGAACACTGATTTACAGAGTATCTCTGGTAACATCTACAGGCCTTAGTCACAGCTGAAATGATGCCTGCCCAAATTCTAAGTAATGGAAGCCAACTTCAGGACAGAGATGCCAATAAGGAACAAATCCAGTATAGTTAGTAGAACAACATCCATTGTGACTGGAAATTAAGTTTCCTATTTCTTAACTGTGAGGCTAGATCACTTCCAAGGTTCCTTATTACAGAACAATGCAATTGTGTTGGAAAAGATTTGGGCCTAAACTCACATATTTTTATGACTCTGAGATGCGCAGCTTACTTCTACCCCACAAAGGCCTACATCCACTTTTCTGATGTTAGCATAAACCAGCCCTTACCTTCTCCATCAGTTGTTGCTGACTGGTTAATGGGAATATCTGAACTGCAGGGCTTGGGCATAATAGCACAAAGCAGTGCTGCAGTTTACCATAAACAGGCAGTGCTGGATAAAAGGTGAAAGAGAAGATTCCCACAGCAGCCTGCAGAGGAAGAATCTCTCAGCACATAAATCTAGAGCTTGCAGGTGGTGATGCTAATAGGGGTCACTCACCACTTCTGTGAATCTGCCTTTTTAAGGGCCCTGTAGCTGTAATGCTTCGTAGATTTGACAACGCATTGTTAACTTTCTCAAACCATGATTAAAGAAGACTACTATGCTTTGACTTCTGGTGGTAATCAAATGAAAAACTGTTTCTGGCCAAAACTGATGTAATGATTAACCTGGCTGGGAAACATTTGCAGAAAATCACTGAAACAGAGAACGAGCATTAAGAAAGGTAACTGGCTACCAAGGTATGGTCTAATTCCAGCAAACAGACAAGCAAAGAAAAATGTTATAGACCTAAGGGTCTGTAACACACAGTGAAAGAATTAATTCCTTCTACTTCAAGATTAAGCAGTCTCTAAGGCAAGAAGAATGTCTGAGCTAATACTATTTGCAAGGATTCACAGGTATAATGGTATAAAAGGAAAATATTTCTGTTGATTTCTTGGGATTGGTACATGTTTTTTGACTTTCCAATATTTATCTATCTTTTTGCCAGTGGTTTCAGAGCCATTTTGTGAATCTTTAGATATGCTGCATACTTTTTCTTAAAAAACAATTTGCCCCCAAAATATCCCATAGTAAACAGAACATTTAGACAAACACTTGAGGATATGAAAATGGCATATGCGGTATCTGAACAGAACTTCTGGTAAGAAATTTGAACACCAAACAATACAATCAAACCTGATGTTTTAATATGTTATTGGAGATTTTTGTGGTATGACCTGAACTCATTGTTCACTGCTAGCAGGGAGAAGGGCACAAGTGAATCATATCCCTCACTTCTTCATCAGGATTACTGATGAGAAATACAACAATTCTTGAAAAAAGAAACAGAAGGGAAATATGATACAGTCATTTCCAATTATTTTTATTTTAGTGCTTATTTTAATTCCATTTGCAAGCTCTAGTTTTGAGACATCTATATATTTCTCTCTATCCAATGGTCAAAATGGAAATTAAGAAGTACATCAGTATACTTTAAACTAACAGCAAAAAGACAAGAAAACTATAAGATGTACTTTTATTAAGTTCTCTTTTTTTGCCCTGTGAAGAGCTGCCATATGCTTCTCTGAAGTGTTGGTAGAGCATGTGCTAGTGTGTACTGCACAATTTCAACCACACATCCAAAAAACTAACAAAGACATTGCTATAGCTTCTGTCAGCTACTAATGCTATGTTCTTCAGCTGGGCACTTAATTACCATTACCAGGCTCCAGATGTTAATTCCTTTAAGAGCAGAGGACTTCTGAAAGCAGCAAGAAGCAATACTGTTTCTTCACTGGTAAATTCACATTGAACAGTGCAGTGAGCAGCAACATCAGTTCTATTTCTTGGCAACCCTCTGCCTGGGCTTTAGGATGGCTGCCGGGGAAAGTGGAAAAATATCTTTGGCTGCTTTGCTTCCTTATCTTCCCTAATACTGTGTTTCCTGGAAGCTGAGTAATAGATTAGCACATTTCCTAAGGACTCCCAAATCTTTTAGCTTTTCTCTAAGTCCTCCCTGTTTTGTTTCTTTTCCTTCCTGATCAAAGTCAGCTTTTAGCCAATACAGGAGATTCCCAGGCAAGGCTACTGATAAACTGGACAAACGGGTATTGTTTGAGAAAGGAACTAACAAGTTAGAGGAGCAGGAAAGATGAAGGAGAAAAACCCCTACAATGTTACCAACAAGGTGTATGCATTTGAGACAATAATGTGCTGTGGGGCAAATCTGCTTCAGGAATTTCTACATTTGCAATGGTCGAGTAGTTCCAAGCAATTGATATAATTTATATATAAAAGATATTTTCTAAATTCTACATCTATGCAAGATATACTTCAGATTCTCTGTGTAACAGGCTATTGCTAAACTTAAAAACTGTGTAGTAACTCCTGACTGGAATCTTATCCATAAACTTGCTGAATACTCAGACCTCAGTCATCTTTACTGTGGGGAAAAGATATCCTATTCTTGTGGGAGAACCAAGGCAGGGCAGCCTTTCCTCAAAGTGTATGCATGAGAAATATTTTACTCATGCTACCTCCTAAAAGCTTTAGGATTGTGCTAGGAGAGAAAAGGAATATCAACAAAAAAGTCAGCTTCCTACCACTCAAATGGCAGATCTGTGTTGTTTTTTTTGCTAAAAAACATGATGCTCAGCCTTCAACACAAGTCTGCTCTATCTATTGCCACTATAAAGGATGGGTTCTGGACTTGAAGTCTTAGATTGAAAAACAAAAGCAGCATTCATTTATGTTTACCTCATATATTTACAGTTTAACTTTCCTCACTAAACTGAAGGCATAGCTTGCTGACAACATTCTCTATTTCCTTGTACTTTATGTGAACACTCAAGCACTGGTTTCAATAAATGTCTTTCATTCTTTTTACAGTATGTTGGTTTAAGCTGTTTATTCTGCCTACTCTGACAAAATACCAATTCTTTTGTATTTCTTGCCCATGTCTTCCTTTGCTCCTTATCCAAATATATTTAGATGAGAAAAAGAAGAATACTGAAGTGGAATTTAAGAAAACTGCTGCATTAGTTTATCAGCCACAGCTTTCTTCCCTGCTGCTTTTCTCAGTAAACTTAAGCTCTAAATTATGTTAAGGTGACTGCAAAATTTCTCACTAAGTTTCAATCATCTAGGATCTCCTACTGAGAAAATTCTTCATCACTGTCTCGTTCTGTGGTTTCCTCTATCTGAATATTATGAGTGTTTCTCTCCAAATAATAATGAAGTAATCAGACCTTCATTTTGTACAGTGGTCAGCTCTGTACTGTAGCAATTCCTGTTTTCTGCTGGTCTCTTAGCTTCTTCTAGGACTGACACAGTAATTTCCTTTTGCACTATTAAAACCTTTTCATATCTCACTTTGTTCATATGCATACTATGAGCGAAGGAGCACTGCCTGCACTGCTTGTCCTCTCCAAGTCCTTTTCCCTTGATGAAGGAGGCTGGAACTTTTGGGCCTGCTGACACCTGTGTTTGAAACCAGGCTAGGCAAGATGGAGTCATCTCCAAAATAATTTGGGATACCAGCAACAGCAATGACTTCTGTGTAAACATATTGACAACTGGTGTTTCTTTAGAGTATATTAGGAAGACTGTGTTCAAAGACTGTTTGAACTGCCGTAGGTTGGGGAGATTAGGGCTTGATCTACTGGGATAAGGCTAGTGTATACTGTACATTTTAATAACCTCAGATTTTCCTAGTAGGACTCAAGACTGAGTATGTTGTAGTGGTAAAACTATTTAGAAGAAGCCAGACTCTTATTTTGATGAAACTATTTAGTAAGATGGCAAGCAAGAATGTGTTGTTTGCAGTGTGAAGTGCTGAGCTGGGACTGAGTGTGGTAACTGCCTGATTCTTCGTCTGTCAGACATGAAACAAGTTCAGCAGCTATTGTGGCAAATCATCTGAGATTCAGGACTAAAGCTAGAGACATACTGCTTTTCCCAGCTGAAAAGAAAAGCAGCAATGGGATGATAGGTTAGTAGTTCCATTGTTTGTCTCGTGACTTAAAGAAGAATGAGAAATTTAAGTTCAATTTTCCTTCATTGCACTGCACTTCACTAGAAGAAAAATATAAAAGAGTAAGTATTATAAAGTTTTACCTGTACTCCTTGCATACTGGGGACAGTGAAACTTATACAGAAATACAGACTCCCTTTACTCTAGTAAGCAATCACTGAAAGTCTGTTATCTGATCGAAGAAAGCAAAAAGACTTTTTTGACAGCTAACTAAATGAAAAATAACTTACATCCTGAGAATTAATACCAAACTAAATGCTCATTAACTTTAAGGAAATTTTTAGTAGTTCAATACTTTTGTGGCTAAGAGTTGCAAATGATCATAGTTCATTACCAATATCAGTTATCTGCTGCTCATAATGCAGTATGAACTGTAACATACATCCAAAGCAAACAACTTATTCCCAAATTCCTCAAAATACTGACAGATGGGATATTAAAGTTCTTAAGTATTTATATTTGGAACTATTTTTACTTAATTTACAGTGGAAATAACTGCAGTAAATATGCAGTGATTATTGTGTGGGTTTTGACTCAGTCACACAAGCCTAAAATTTGGAAATATGAGTAAGGAAAAATAAGACAAAAATGCTGTGTTTGTGGCTGGAAGTTATTACTGGATAAAGACATCATGTCACTCACTAGTGAACACATATTTTTCCCTCTTGCACTGAAGGTTTATATCACCCAACAGCAGCACTATTGTCCCCACACAGAGAACTCCAGATGGCAGAGATGTTGTAACAATACACTTGAGTATTTAGTCTCTCTGAAGGCTCAAAGCCATGACCATGAATAAACAGTTCTGTCAGGGTAACTCCACTTTTAAAAACTTTTCAGCAAACTTTCTGTAGGTCTACCTGCAGTTTTCCAGTAATGGAAATCATAAAGGAAGGGAAGACATTACAGACAGTCCTCAAATAACTACAGCCATTTAAGTGTTCCATAACACTCTCTTTAAAATGTCTGAAAATTATGAAGCGCAACCCAAGCCCTGAACTTTAAAGTCAGTGACCACATTCTGAAGTGAACAGGACTCAGAATTCAGCATTATTAGGCTAAGCTGAAAAAAAAATGTTAATCAGAAAAGACTGAGCTAAGACTACAATACTAAAGCCAAAGTCAGAAAACAAAATGTAACAAACCCCAAAACTGTGCACACAAAGGAATTTTCACCTGAATGCTAGTAAAGTTTCTTATACCTGACTGCTTCCTAAAACTACTGGCAATTATGTGTAGGAGCAAGCATTGAGCTGTTCATTAAAGCCTGTATTTCTCAGTATTTTATACTGGTTAGATTTGCATGTTCTAGGTATTTACCTGAGGATGGAAGGCAGCATATGGTGTGCCAGGGCTTGAAAAGCCTCTGATCTTAATAAGCAAAGCTCCATTATTTTATTAGTGGATATTTTCAGCTAATGGGAATAATGCAGTTGAGAGCTGTGTCAAGTCCCACAGCAGACAGGAAGAAAAACTTATTCAGTGGCACCATGGCTGTCAGAGGGCTGTGTAATAAAAATCCTGCAGGGCAAATTAAGTCTTCAATTTTAATAGCTGTGTGCATCTACCTATACAAGTATCTACTCAGTATCAATGCATTTAGCAGGTTTGTCCAAATTTATCTAATTTGAATTTAGCAAGACATTCTAAGAAAAGAAAAGGAAAATATTAGTGACTATTTGGTCATAGCTATGTTGGTTATTTAAGATCAAGAAGTGTAAAACAAAAAGTCCTGTTCTAACACTCATGAAATGCTTAATGTATCTTCATAGTAACATGTGTGCTGAGTAATTTCTGTTTTTATTGAATTCCCAGAGACAAAGGGAAAAAAGGCTCTTTTGTTTATGATCGTGATTAAAGAATTCTTGTTAACACCAAAACTCCCTTATTAAAAAAGTAACATACCTGAATAAAATTGAACTCCCTCCAGTTTAAGGCACTGTTTACTGAAGGGATGGAAGTTACTGCCAGCAAAGAAAGCAATCCAAGACTCATTATTCCAAAAGAGATATACATTTCAATTCGCCACACTTCTTCCTCATTCCAAGAATTTTCAACATTTGCATGAACCTGATGAAAGAGTAGAACGGAAGAACTTTATTCTAAAGAATATTAAAAATACCAACAGAAGTTATTTTGCTGACTTAAAAGTTCACAGTCATAGGACAACTATAAAATGGGGTCAAATGTTTCAGAGGTTTCCTCATTCCTTGCAAAAAAATCAGCTATTTCCTTACTGCTGGTATTGGCTCTTGCTAGATTAAAAATATGTTCAACAAGGAAATTTAGATGACATGCTAAAAGAAAATGTAACATTATATACCATTTACAACAATATTGTTATAAAATCAGATAATTCTGCACATTCTTATACACTGTAAAAAAGGAGCTGTGTTCTTCAGACTCAGCAAACTTAAATTCTGTAACGTAAGTTGGATAAACCTGCAATTTCTTTTTAGTTTGTTACATTTAGAAGTAGTTTAGCATCATTTCCTTCAGCTTTCCTATGCTGAGTCCAAGCTTGTTTCTCTCTTTTACTATTGGCATCACATTTTTCCAATATGGTTCTCACTGGACAGCTTTACCAGAAAAAACAAACAACTAAGAAAGTTAGATATTCAAATTTTTTTTTTCACTTCCAGCTGAACCATTGCAATAAGATATGTCTTGAAAAAGGTGCACCTTTAGCAAATATTAGCAAGTTAGAGTTTTACAGTATCATCAAAACGAAGATAATTTCTTAGTAAAAGTACCAATGAATCTTTTAGTATTACTAATTTTAAGTGTGAATTACTGTTTCTTGCTGCCTATTACAGTTCTGTCCTTCCTTTCTCCTAAGTTCAGTTTTTGATGCGAGCTCTTTCAGAATTTGTGACACTCCCTGTTAATTTCTTACATTTCATTTTATTTCCTTATTTGTTTTTTCTTTCTGTTTTATCACAACTCTTTCCTACAGATTTTATGTGGTGCATGACAATGCCATTTTTCTGCAGTGCTGCTTTTCTGCCTCTTCAAAGGTTACAATAAGCTGTCTCACTGACAGACAGCAGTATCAGACCCTCTTCTAGAGGATGACAAATTTGTAGGAGAATGCTACAGGGTTGTGCAAGATCAATTCTTCCTGGAAACTATGAGTCAATTTCCATAGGCTGCAACTGATGATATCCACAGAATTTTAAGAGAATAACATATTTTTAGCATTGGTCCAAAATGTTACAAAATATCAGCATCTTCTTTTTGGAACACAGAAGTATCTGTAAGCAAGATTACAGTATCTGCCCTTACACTTCTAATATTTGTAAATGCACTTATGATATACATACTTCCCCCCATGTGTTAAGTATACATAGAAAAGAACACAGCTCAGAATTCTCCTGCTGTTGCTCTTATCCTACATTCTTCTTGTGTATATTGCTATCAGGAATTTCAGTAGGACATGTCCTTGATTCCCCTTATCACACAAACTTGACTGCAGATTGACCCACAAGGTGAGCAAAATGCACAGATATTTCTTAATTGGCACAACCTATGCATAAGATAACCCATAACATTTTGTGCCAAAAGCAGTAGAACAGATTAAGAAAAACCCAATAATTGCATTCAGGAGCTTTATGTACCCAGCCAAGGCATTCTTTGAACTAAAGATTGTCTTACTTGTTGATATGCCATGTTGAGGAACAAGTACCGCTCTGATCTCCTCATAGGCAAGCAGAGGCTGTACACCACGTGCACTGTTGCAAAGAAAAAACTCAGCAGTCCAAGCTGCTTTCGACACTGGAGCCAGTTGTCCAGCCAAGGAGGAAATCGCCGATACTTCGTGCCATAGTAAAGCTGATAAGCAGCTGCAATAAGTCCTGATAAGTATACTAGAGAAAGCAAAGTGATAGCAACAATTGGCAGAGTCTTGTTCACAATCTCAATGGGAATCTTGTAAAAGTCACTCTGCTGATTTCTCATGTACGGATGGATGATATCTCTGACAAAAGAATAGATGAAGAAAAATGTTGCCAGACTAATGGCAATCACTACAGGCCCCTTCCACAGGGTGAACAGTCGCAGAGGCAGGTTTTCAATCTCCCTTGAAGATGACAATGCCCCCAAATCAATAGGAATGAAACCGAGCTGACGGGCAAGCTCAATAACTTGATGGCGAGCCTGAACATTGTTACTGCATATATAGACCTGTTGGGAAAGTCAAGGGAATTATCTGTAGTCAGAGAAAGACAAAGTTAAAAAAAACAAAACAGCAAAACCCATCAAAAACCTTGAGGGCTTCCAAATCAAAACTATGACACAACCACTAAAACTATGTCCTTTATCCAAGCTTATATCATCAATGACAATAAAATCACATAAAAATCTAGCCAAAGTGCAAATATGCACATTGATTTATCAACAGAGTAATCAAAACAAAATTGGCTTTTTCTAGGATTTAGTAACGGGAGCTGTCTTGGTAATCTGTACACTGAAACCTGGCATACTGAAATGTCTACAGGACTGGATTAACTCCAGCAACAGCTAAAAGCATTTCAGAAAATCCCAAATCCCTCAAAAACACAAGAATCTTGAATGATGACCTTTAAAGAACTATAGCATACACAGAATGAGAAGCAGCGAACACTGTAATCTCTCTCCACGGATAACAATTTCAGCTTAATTTCACAACCCAGATTTTCACAGATTTCACATTTGAGCATTCAACAGAAAAGACAAAAACTAGCAGCCAAATAAGAACTTATTTTAAAGGCCAGCTTATTATACAGTGAAAGAAGTGTATGGCTATAAAGTACTTCAAGGTTCTGTTAAAATTTACAATGGGCTATAGTTTGTCCAACACTATTTGCTGATCATCTGCATTGAAGGACATATAATCTGTTTTGACTGAAGTGAATTACTTTTAGGGTAGTGCTATTCTGAAAGGGGATAAAAGAAGTATGGTGAAGTTATTTTTAAAATTATGCTAATTCCATATAAATTCCATTCCACTTAAATCTACCTGAAGCGCCAGAAGACTCAGTTTAGCCTCCAGAAGTCATGTTACGTTAGTTATTTCTTATGTATTTCTCAGATTTCATAAAGCTATGAAGGATTGGATGCTTGCACAGGCTTAAATCCTTTGTATCACTTCAGCAAAACATGAAAACCATGAAGGTGCATTTTCTGTATGCAGGATGGACTTGCAGAACATACTGGGAAGGACTTTGAACATGATGTTCACAGGCAGTGCTGGTTCAAATGAATGATCACTTAGAAAGATATGTGTTTCCTTCTGTTCCCTCATATTTATGATTTTGGGGCACTCTAAAAGCTAGAAAATTTATTTTAATTACCATGCTGCTACATTGAACACATCCATTTTTAGAACAGCTGATTCTTGAGCTCTGTGATTGGGACCTGAGATTTCTGTGCATCTCTTTCAATAGTTCAATAGTTCACCCCAATTCTGCCACTAAAATGCATTGGGAAAGACTGTCTCTACCCTTGTATAAAGCATAGGGAAACACATCAACTTATGTCCCAAGGGAAACATTAAGACACAACATTAAACTCCTCTCCTCTGTCTGTAGTCACTGAAAGGTAAGTGGTGTTTATTCTAAGGTAGTGTCCACATTTTCTTTGCAATCTTTAAAGAAAAACAGCCAATAAGGGGGAAAAACTGGACCACTTAATTTATTTGTCTTACAGTGGGATGAACTAAACTCTGAAGGTTTTATTGGCTACTAAAATATAAGCTAAAGGTCCAACATTTTAGGCATGTTAAATCAGGGAATTTAAATCTCATGAGTTCTGGCTGTTACATTCAGTTCCTGTCACTTTAATTTTACAAGTAAGTTAAATTAATATAAATAAAAACATTTACCTGTCTGCTGGCATCCTTTGGTCCTAACTGCAGTGACCAAGCTGAAATGACATTGAATCCTTTGACAATTAGGGAATCAGGAAAAAGTGATGCCAAATACTCTGCATTGGAGTCTGGATATTGGTCTACTCTTGTATTATTGCTGACATCAATCAGAATTTTACCAGCAAGTAAATGTTTGAGATCCCACAAAGAGATGTAATGCTCTCTATGTATGGCTACAAAAATGATGTTTGTTTTAGCTACTGCATCTTCATGGTGAGTGACATCAACCACATGGGGAAAAAAGTCAGCAGCGTGTTTAGGGTTTCTGCTCCCTACAACCACGTGGTACCCACATCTGATAAGTCTGATTGTCAATGACTTAGCGAAGTCTCCACTTCCAATGATGCCTATTGTGACCTTACTGGCATCCTTGATGCCATTGGCAACATTTGGTAGAAAAGTTTCATTGAGGTTCTTGGGACTCCCCATCATAGAGATTGATTCCATACTTCAAAGACACCAAACCTACAGTGATTTCTTTAGGGAAAAAAAAGGAAAGAGAAGAAAAAGGAAAAAAACAACAGAAGGAAAAAATCAGCATCATATAATTTTATGAGACCTCAAAATCTATTAACACCTCTGGAAGCAAAATCTTTGGCTCTAAGTTTCATATTATATTTTCTCCTTAAGTAAGCGCTAATTAATTTTGTCTTGCAGTATGTCACCAATAGAAGGAGAAACAAGAAACAAAGTATTTTAAGCACTACAATAATACAGTTACTTAAGTAAACAACTTTTTTTTCATCTTCTCCTATTTCTTACCTTCCAGTGCCCTGGAATACCAGACCGCAAGTTAACTTTGTACTCCTGAAACTAATGGTCTATAGAATAATGAGTAGAAACATGCAAAGAAAATTGGAAAACAGTAGACTGTAGAGAGCACTGGCCTGTGATCAGCATGAGATCAGTGAGTACATGGAAGCTGAATTCCATTAAAAGTTTATGCAGGTTATTACTGAGATAGCCTCTCCTGGCCATGAAGGAGAAGATGGAAAAGTCTCAAAGCTGCAAATGTCACAACACCATGACAAACATCCATCTGACATACTCACCTGTCAGCCTGGAAAATGGGCTGCCCATGTGGATCCAATGGCAAAACCAAAGAAATTTATCAAGACCTAGTCATGAGATCACTAATGACATTTCTAGGTCAGGCTGCTTGGTCTGGCAAGGATTAACTGCGGATGCAAGGGTAAAGGATTCAAGGCCATGAGTCACAAATATGCTTAACACAATTTTCTATCCAGGCAAGTAAGATAAATCCTGGAGACAAACACATGGGACAGCCTTCCATAAAAAGCTAATGGCAGGAAGAGACAGCTTTCATGCAATAACAAAAGGGAAGATAATTTTAGGACTCGAATTCAGTGAAGTAAGGGATGTTTTGAATAAGAACAGAAGTTGGAAAAAAAAAATAAATACTGCTATATCCTTGGTCAAAGAACTGCAATAAAGCTCTAACAAAGACATTAAAAACCAACAAAACAACCCTCAGGAGGGATGTCTTCACACAAACCAGCATTATGACCTAGGTGGTTCTGCATCATTGTGGGGGGTTTACCCTGGTTGAAGGCCAGGTGTCCAAAAAGGTGCTGTTTTAACACTCCTCTCCTCAGCTGGGCTGAGGAGAGAAAATATCACAAAAGGCTCATGAGTTAAGGGCAGGGAGAGATCACTCACCAATTACCACCAGAGGCAAACCATACTTGGGGAAATTAACTGAATATTACCAATCAAAAATCAGAGCAGGATAATGAGAAGTAAAATAAATCCTAAAGAAACACCCTCCCCTCAACCCAGTAAGTTTCTTCCTGGGCTTAACTTTATTCCCATTTCTCTGCTTCCTCCCCCTCTGCAGCACAGGGAGACAGGGAATAGATGTTACGGTCAGTTCATCGCATGCTGTTTCTGCTGCCGCTTCCTCCTCATGGAGAGAAGTCTTTCTCCCACACCAGCATGAGTTTCCTCCCACAGGAGAGTCCCCTACATACTTCAGTGTGAGTCCTTCCCACAGGCTACAGTTGCAGCTGGATCTCAGCTATACCATGAACCTCATGGGCTGCACTACAGACAGCAGGGGAATGTCTAATCCAGCGCTTAGGGCGCCTCCTCCTCCTTCCTCTTCAATGGCTTTAGTGTCCATGTTGTTGATGTCTATGTAAGTTGTTTCTCTCACATGGTCTCGCCCTCTCTTCTGCAGCTGCAATTACTTTTTTTCCCCCTTCTTACCTATGTTACCCAAGAGGTGCTGCCACCATTGCTGATGAGCTGGGCCCTGGCCAGCCATGGTCCAGCTGACACTGACCCCATTAGACACAGGGTAAGAGTCCTGCAGCTTCTCACAGAAACCACCCCTACAGCACTCCTCCCCATCCTATTACCAAAGTCTTGCAGGCTAAGCCAATGTAATTGTAGAACAGGAATAAATTCTGAAAATTAAGGAGTCAATGAGGAGAGGCAGGCTAAGAAGTAGCAAGAAGAAGGTTGCTGTCTTGAGAACAATGAACAACAGCCCACACAGAACCTCTTCCTGAGCCACCATCTAAGAGCTGATATGATGGTAATTAATAATCAGTGAGGAATATTAAGCAGCCATTGGCTACTAATACAGCATGTGTGGTGAACAACCTCCCACAATTAAAAGCAGCTTTGTGTTTCAGAAATTAGAGGAAGCTACTAGAAGAATGGGCACTTTTCATTTCAGCTTTGAGTAAAAGATATAAACTCACTGAAACTAGACTGAGAAGTTGAAGACAGAATGCAATATGTGAAAGTGACCACTAAGATAGTTTCTAAGAAAATATTCTAACAGTGAATCCTTCTGGCAGAGGCAGAACACAAAGATTTTTATGCATGCACTCAAAAAAGCATTGACTTTTTCCTTACCATGTGACCTAAAGCATATTTAACACATGACCAAATTACCAGTATTTCCTGTATCAGGATGGGTTTGCACCCAGGAACATGAGAATATATAATGAGATAAGAGATGTAACTGGATATGACAGAACATGTATGCTTTTGCCATGTGACAGTGCAGTTCATACCATGTAACCAGAATATTCTGCAAAACTTCGAGGTTGAAAAGGAACCACCATAAGGAAATGGGCTTTCCAGTACCATTTAACCATGCTGCAGCCTACTTTCAGTTTAGTCCAAAGGATCCTGGGGAGAGTGGGGACACAGGACTTGGACATGATTAATTGCTCGGTGAGCTGAATTTGGCCTGCTGGCCAATGTTTCTCACTGCCTGTTCTAAGGAAAATACGATGCGAGTAACAGAATCAAACTAACAGACTTCATAAAAACCCTCTGGGAACAGGCTGACATGACTTTTAGACAAGTAATCTAAGAGAGGTACAAGAACAGAGAGCCAGCAGTTACTGAAACAGACTATATTAAATGCACAACTGCAATTCAGAGGCAAGAGCGTATAAGACTCTTTTAACTGCAACAGGAGAGCTTTCCTTAAGTAAAAAATCACACAAGATTTAAAAAAATACAGAAACTGTGTACATGGCTAAGGAGCACTATAAAAAGACAAAGGGACAGTGCTATCATGTAGGGGTAAAATCAGAACAAGGATGGTAGAGAAGTGAGTTTGTAACTAGTGAAGAACATAAATGGCAACAAGTAAAAGTTCCCTGAATACAATAAAAAGACAAAAGACAGAAGGCAAGGTTTTTAACTTCAGAGGAAAAGGAATGAGTTATACAAAGTAGGACGAATTATTATGTGTCTTCTTTATTTCAACCCTTAGCAGAAAAGTTAACTGTGAATTGGTATTTACAGAAATTCCTTCTATCGGGAGAGAGACCGAGAGGTCAAAGTGGAAAAGGTAAGTTAAGAGTAAAGGATAAAGTTAAAGATAAGATAAAGATTCTCAAGTCAGCAGACACTTGTGAAATCAGCCCTTGATGCTTAAAATGCTGACCAAATTGGCATCTTCAGAACTTAGCAGATGACATGACAGGCAGACTAGCATATATTGCTAAAAGAAAGGATGACGACTAAGGAAAACAAAGACTTGTTAGCCTAACTTCAGCACCTGGACAGATTTTTCATCGTTATTGTGCAATCAATCAGTAAATAAATGGGAAGCAGATGATAAAAAGCAGCTGAGGTGGGTTGCTCAGGAACAGATTTCAACAAAACTAACCTTCTTTTATGAACTAACTGATTTCAGGGTTATAAAAATTAATAGAAGTGACATAGATTTGACATATGCTTAAATGAGCTAAGAGAACATCACAGAGCTATGTCAGACAGATGGGGACACATGTGAGAAACTGCTCTTGGAAAAATAACTACGGGAGGAGAAAACCGAACCGCTGCATCGGTGACCCCCCGCTCGGGCGGGCACTTACGGGGCGCGGGCTGAGGCGCGGGGCTGGCGGGAGGCCGGGCGCGGGCCGCTGCCCCCCGGGCGGGCCGGCAGCGCGGTGCGGAGATCCAGCCCGGAGCAGCTCGGCGGGGCCCCGCTCCGGGCCGGCATATCCAGCTGCAACGACAACACCGCCCGTGACGGGCAGAGCCGGGCCGGCGCTGCCAGGCCCGCCCGCCGCGGGGCGGGGGCTGGCCGGCCCCGCCAGGTATCGGAGCGCCCCCGCGGCTGCCCGAGACCGGGCCGCACCGCTCCGTGGTTCGCCGGCACCGCCAGAGCCTGTCCGGAGACGGGGGCAGCCGCAGCGCTGCGCAGCAGACAGAGCCCCGCGGGCGGCGGCTGCGCCGAGGAGCGCCCGGCGGGGATGGGGCCCGTCCCGCCCCGGCCCGGCGCCGCTCACCTCCGCCCGCCCGCCCGCCGGAGCACCGCGCCGCCGCTGCTCCTCCTCGCACTCGGGCCCGCAGTGCCGGGCGGGCGGGGAGGCGGCGCCTCTCCTGCCGCTGAGACCCGCCCCCTGCGGCCGCCCCGCCACCGCAGCCACCGCGGCTCCGCACGGTGTAGGAACCTTGGTGGGTGACGAGTTAATCAGGAGCCGGCAAGTGTGGCCTCGCGGTCAGGAGGACCAATGGTATGCTGGGGATGCATCGGGAAGTGTGGCCAGTAGGTGATCTTCCCCCTCTGTTCGGCCTTGGTGAGGCCACGTCTGGAGTGCTGAGTCCATTCTGGGCTCATCAGTGCAAGAAAAACTACTGGAGGGGGTCCAGGGGACCCAACAAAGATGATTAGGGATCTGGAGCATCTTTCTTATGAGGAGAGACTCTGGTAGCTAGGCCCATTTAGCCTGGAGAAGACTGACAGGGAGTCTCATCAATGCATATGAATATTTCAAAGATAGGTGTCAAGAGGGGGGTACCAGGTTCTTTTCAGTGGTGCCCAGCAACAGGACAAGGAGCAATTGCCATAAATCAAAACTCAAAAATTTCCACCTCAACATGAAGAAAAACTATTTCACATTGAGAGTCGCAGAGCACTGGAACTGGTTGCCCAGGGAGGTTGTGGAGTC